CTCTAACTGGTCTCTAATATGTTGGTTCATCTTACTTTCCCATTCAGAATGCACGGTCATATTGTAAAAAGCAGTTCATACCGCTTGTTCATCTCTAACGAAATTTCGGCAGCATCTCCCCATGGTTCTCCAAATACACGACATAGACTAGGTGTACTGCTTGTTACACCTTGTCTAGTATGCACTCGGAGAACACAAGGAGTTGCTACACGAAATCTCTACGAGATGGACTATAAGCAGTAGAACTACTAATTACAATACAGACTTGTGCTCCTGAACTGTCCAACTGGACAATCCAAGAAGAGCTTCATCAAAGATGACTAGGTATCTCTAATGAAGATTCTTGGACGGGTCTAAGGCTATTTATGCATGCATGCACCATTAATGATTGCATCCCGGTGGTGCAATCTAAATTAGTACTATCAAGCATACTAGAAGCATATCTAGTATGAAGCATATTAATGAAGAAACCAAAAGTTTCTACAATGCTCTTGATAGATTATGATAGATTCAAGAAATACATTGCTCTCTCAAATCCATCAATAATATAATAGTTTTGGCAGGAACTCATGGATGTGGGAAGTTCAAACCCACTACCCAAACCAATAAGTATACCAAAGCTCGAATACTTCTGATGATGATAATGATGATGATGATTCAAAAAACACCAAAGAGCAGCCACCATATGAGGAATCACATTCAGAATCACAATCATATTAGTTGAGGAATCACAATCACAATCACAATCACAATCACAATCACAATCACAATCATAGTTATCCACGTTAATAACTAGAATCACAAAAATATAAGACACATGTGAGAAGATTGTCTAGCTCTCTGATTAATTTATCTGTTCCTAAATTAAAAATTTGGCAAAAAACACTCGAGTCAAAAGGGTTTATAATTAGTAGAAATAAAACTGAATATATGGAATGTAACTTTAGTAAGAAATAATGGAGCTGCACCTTATGGGGACTTGCACTCGAGCTTGCATCACCTTCTTTGTTTGCTTGTCTACTAAAAACATATAAGGTTAAAAGGAAAAAGTTCCCTAAATTGACAATGAGGTGTAATTCTTCTACGTAGTTCATTTAATTAAACTTTGAATTGAGTCAAATAAAATGAAACATGAATATTGCATAGATGTATATACAATTGCCTGGTTTTTATGCTATTGATGTGTGTTTAAAAAGGAACATTAAAAATCTATTATAGTCACAGCTCAGTGCAGCTATCAACTAATTTAGTTGTTAGACTCCAATGTGATTTTTTTATCTATTTGGACTATTATCAGAATACATGCACATATTAGCTATATGGTTGTTAACTTTTGAACAACCTTTGGATATATTATTTTCTGCATCACTTTTTTTTTTAAAAACTTATTTAGGATGCTTTACTTTCCAGTCTACCTCGCCTATCAGATCTGAAATTGAAATTAAGCTTGGGGGTACTCAGTGCAACATCATAATGAGCAGACTAAAGCCATGGATGCACCTGCAGTCCTCAAAAAAGAAGAAAATGGTGCTTCAAGATGGAAATTCTAACCCTGAAAGGCTGCGGTCAACCGAATCCAAAGCCATCATGTGGACTTGTACAGTTTCAGCGCCAGAGATGACTATTGTGCTTTATAGTCTTAGCGGTTCGCCCCTATATCATGTAAGTGATCTCTTCAATAATATATATATATATTACTGTTGTTTGGTATTAGGAAATTGTCCGTTTATTCGGAGTATTGTATCATGCTGTCTATACTATCCCATGTGTAGATGAAAAACCTTTAACTAGTATGTATGTGGAAGGCTCTATTTCAGATCCCATATCTCAGAGATTGAAAATAAGTAATTAATAGTTCTCTAGCTAATGGTAGCTCAATTTTTCACTGCCAAAATGTAAACTTCCGTGCAGGCAGCAGTAGCTCCTGCCTCCAATATTCCAATGTACTGATTTTTTGTTGCATGCTGATGGATTCAGACTTGCTGCTATCAGAAAATGAAAATTCTGATTGATTATCGCTTATAATGAATACTCTGGGATCAAGATAAACTTTTTCTCATCCTACTTACTCACAGACATTGGGCCTGTTCAGTAAGCTGTAAATTAAAAAGCATAAGTTAAAAACACATCTCTCCCTCCCAATAATCATATTTTTTCAACTTATTTAAGTTATTTTTACTTCTTGTAAGCAAAAATTGTGCCAAACATTTTGACACATAATTTCAAAAAAAAAAAAAAAAAATTTGCTATAAGTAGCTCCATAACCTGAACAAAATAGCCTTGTCTGTGAGAATTATAAAAATTGATCATTAAACTGTAGCAATGTTTAATATATAGCAAAAGTTGATCATATTGAATCCATAATTCAAGATAACTACAACAAACAGTGCATGGCAATGCCACTGGACAGAAGCCATGTACAGTTTACAGTGTCAAATATCGACAACTCTGCCAACAGATGCTGCTCTGATTCACAATATTTTATGTACAACAACAATGGGGGGAACAAGAGAATGAAATGCGAGACAGAGAGAGAGAGAGAGAGAGAGAGTACCGATTGCAGTTCAGAAACAAAGTAGACTATTCAATGGAGGTTGAAATGCGAGTAATCGAGGGGACGACAGAGTTCAGATCTGAATCTTCGAAATCGCAGGCATGGAGCTTCGAAATCGCGTCGATGGTGCTTCGATCCGAATCTTCGATGGAGCTTCGAAATCGCTTCAATGGAGCTTCGCTCTGAATCTTCGCTCTGAATCTTTGATGGAGCTTAGAGAGGGTTGAGAGAGAGCGAGAGAGAGGCTCTGATTCAAAATAAGGGTTGAGAGAGAGAGAGAGAGAAAGGCTCTGATTAAAAAATAAGGGTTGAGAGGCCCGTGTTATTGTTCAACAAAAAAAAAAAATAAAAAAAAGAGGCGCGTGTGGCTACCGTATTCGGAGGCGTTTTTAAACGCCTCCCATTATAAAACGGTGTCGTTTTGTGTAATACAATACGTGGCGTTTTATAAAACGCCGTTAAATAATAAAAACAGTGACGTTCACAAAACCGTCGTTGAAAAAACGCCACCAAATCCACTTTTTCCTGTAGTGAACTTGCTTAAAACACGCACAAACAGCTTGGCAATCTGCTGTAGAATTAGCCATCTGGTTCAGGTTTTGAGCTCCCGGACAGCACGGCACAGTGATGTCGCCGTTGCCTAACAGGTATTGTTCTCATGGAAGTATTTTCAGTATCGCATCTTGGCAGGTGATTGTTGCATTCACAGTCACAGAGCTTGCAATCAATGCCAAAATTACCATCACCCACTCTACCGCCCACACTGATCTCATCACCACATGAAACGTTTGCAAGGTACCTGTCTTTATAGGGACAATATCGAGTTATGAGTTCTTGGAGGTATTTTGTCAATCTGTTTCAATAATCCGACCGTTCATATTATAGGGTTTATCGAAAAGAAATACCCAAAAAAAGTTTATCGAGTAGAGCATCCTTGAAAAAAAATCAAGGCAAATAGACATCTAAAACCCAATAAAAAAAAAAAAACTAAATTTATTTTTAAAAAAATAAATGATTAACATAATTTTGATAATTTTTTTAAAAGCAATTATGGTCCGATTATAGGACATGCATGTCCGATTAATCTCATTTTTTATATGAATAATCACTACAACAAAATGCACCTTCGGCAACCAAAATTGGCGACTAAAAAAAATTTAGCCGCCAAAAGTTGTGGAATTGGCGACTAAATATTTTTTTAGTCAGCAAAAGTAAAATATTTAGCTACTAATTTTTTTTAGTAGCTGTATATTGGTTATTGGCGACTAAAAAATAATTTTGTCGCCAAAAATGTCATATTTGGCGACAAAAAAAATTTTTAGTCGCCCTATATTAATTTTTGGCTACTAAAACTATTTAGTCGCTGAATGAAAAATAAAAAATTATTTTTTACCTTTTGGGGACCATAATTTTGGTCGCCAAAGGTTTATTTTCAGCAACAAAAAATAATTTTTGTAGCCGTATAGTCAAATTTATTTAGTAGCCAAATAAAAAGAAAAAATATATTTTTATCTTTGGCAACCAAAAATTTGGTCACCAAAAGTATATTTTCAGCAACAAAAGAATAATTTAGTCGCCAAAAACTAAAATATTTGGGGGGAGATTTTAAATTATGGGCAAAAGTAAAATATTTAGCTACTAATTTTTTTTAGTAGCTGTATATTGGTTATTGGCGACTAAAAAATAATTTAGTCGCCAAAAATGTCATATTTGGCGACAAAAAAAATTTTTAGTCGCCCTATATTAATTTTTGGCTACTAAAACTATTTAGTCGCTAAATGGAAAATAAAAAATTATTTTTTACCTTTTGGGGACCATAATTTTGGTCGCCAAAGGTTTATTTTCAGCAACAAAAAATAATTTTTGCAGCCGTATAGTCAAATTTATTTAGTAGCCAAATAAAAAGAAAAAATATATTTTTATCTTTGGCAACCAAAAATTTGGTCACCAAAAGTATATTTTCAGCAACAAAAGAATAATTTAGTCGCCAAAAACTAAAATATTTGGGGGGAGATTTTAAATTATGGAGGGATTAAAAAATAATTAGCGACAAAATTGTTATTAATTATATGAAAAATGCCTCTCTCTCTCTCCTCTCATCCGTCTCTCTCTCTTATTGAAACCCAAAAACAAATCTCACTCTACTCTATTCAAACCCAAATCTGGGATGCCCTCTCTCTCCCTCTCTCTGTCTCTACTCTGTTGAAACCCAAAAACTGTTTCGATCCAGCAAACAAGAGCAAAAACAGGCAACCCATCGGCGGCGATGGAAGGCTTCCGGCGTTTTCCGGCTTCCCTTCTGTACATTGACACGTTGCAAAGTTACCCAAGCCCTAGATCCCCAAATCCCTTCCATTGACAACCGAGAAAAGGTTAGATTTATATATATACATATATATATATTTATAAATCATTGCCATTTAATCGCCATGATGAAAAGGTTAGTGATTAATCTGTTTTTTTTTTTCGTTTTATTTTGAAATCCTCTCCATTTAATCTCCATGATGAAAAGCTGTGTGATTTTACAAAAACAGAACAACTCCTTTCATGATGCATATGGAGAGGAATTTTGTAAGTGTAAGAATAAATGGAAAGGATTTTTGAAAAACAGAACAAAAGTCCTGTCAAGAAGAATGTTATGAAAATAGACTTGCCGAGTTCTGTTGTGATTTTGAAAGAAAAATCATCTTGTTCAAATGGTAAATTGAAGGCCTGTGTGATAATTGGAAGCATGTGTAATTCTCCCTACACTTACATTTTGCATTGCAAGTATATGATAAAATGCCTCAATGAAATTCTTAGTGAATGACCAAATTATTGTCTCTAGACTTACATTTTGCCTCAATGAAATGCTTTGTGAATGGCCAAATTATTGTCTCTAGACTTACATTTTGCCTCAATAAAAGTTATGTTTAATCAAACTCTTATTTCTTTGGTTTTAACTTTCTAGATGGCCACTACACTTGAACCAAATTAAAAATACTTAATGAATGTTCAATCTGGTAGTCCATCATTAGTTTTTGTTTAATGTTCAAACAATTTAATTTTTGTTCAATGGATAAAAACAATTTAATTTTTGTTCAATGGATAAGAGATTTTCATTGTAGACAAGGTAAGTTCTCTGTTCTTAGCTTCTACTTCTACTTCTACTTTGTCTTTGTGAAGAAACTGTTTCTGTTTTGTTTCCATCCCTAAATTGAATCCAGCTTACATTAATTTCTTCATTACAGTTTGGTTTCTGTGATAAACTTCACCATTTCTCAACAATGAAATAAAGGTACCGTACACATAACAATTGTCTTAACAAACAAAATCTTTCTATGTGGACTTTCAACAAACACATAGAATGCATCAATACAAAAACACCAAAATCATGTTTAAAACAAATTATGGACCAAGAAGATTTCAACCAATGTAAAGAAAATAGGAGCAAAATCATAGACCAAGCAGATTTCAACCAATTTTCTGTTCTATCTGTCTCGCTCTTCTAATGTTGTGGTTGAGTTGTAATTTAAGTCAAATGGAGGTTATTTAATTTTTTTTAAAAAAAATATTAAATTGTTTTAATTTTAACAATCTTAAGTGATAGAGTTAATTTTGAATTCAAATTGTGAAGACATAACAACATTACGAGAATGAGATGGAGGGTTGAAATGGAGAATGAGAACAAAAGACTTGAATTTGAGAATCAAAACTAAGGATATTATTGTTCATCAATGTTTATGATATATCTCTAAATAATGGGTTTTAATAGCTATTAAACAAAATTCTGAAGTATAAAATAAATATACTTTTAAGTCTATACGTAGTGTTTAAAAATATGTAGCACTTAAATTACAAGATAAAAAGCAAGATTCAGGGTAGGAATTACATAGGGCACTTGGAATATTAATGATGGTTTCAACCTTCACTACATATGGTTGGACTAACTAGCTGGTTCTTATTGACTATATATCATCATCCTCTAATCTTAGTTTAGCGTACTTTCTTTTTACCCCACAAGGATGTCCATACCTTCACCTCTACTAATCTCATGGGTTACTTTTCCCAACTAATCTCTCAAGTTACTAAATACTTGTAGTTATTGTCTTACATATACCAAGTAATATTATTAGTTTAGTATACTTCCTTTGCGCATAAAGTAGCTCAACCTTGTCAATTTTTTTTGATTTTCCTCTAGCAAATTATCTTCAATGATGTTGAGAGGGAAACAAATGATAGTTCAAAAACACATGTAAACAAGAAGCATTGAATATCATGTACTAAAATTCACTAAAATGAGGTTATCTTGAATTTGTAGTAGAATTTATGTGATCTACATGGTTCACCCCACTCACCCTTTTCTCTATTTATTTCACAGCAATAGATTAGACACTTCTTGACCTATTTATGTTAACAAAAACTTCATAATTTTGTACTTTCTTGATTAGCATAACTTGTACTTTTGGTAAACGGGTAAATTTTTATTTTTTTGCAATGTTTAAGAACATTACCGCTGTCAAATCAATAATTAAGATTAGTCTATCATAGTCCAAGAGTAATGACTACTTAGAATTCATTGATACCATGAGAATAAGAACCAATGACTTTCTTCTACTTACATTGAAAATTTGATGATTGGTTAATAGAGTTAGAAATGTCATGAGTATAATACACCCATCTTTGCAATTTATGATTTGTATTTAGTTTATGAAGAATTTAGTTTTTGTTTTTCCATTCCAATGTAGACTAGCAAAAGTTGTTCTTCACATAATGAAATTTCATTTGCATTGTTTTTTGTTTTTTGTGTGTCACCTATCCCCTCCCCCCCTCCAAACAAATGAAAAAATAAAAACAATATCATGCAACAAGGGTGGGGAGTACAAGTATTATGGTTACTTACTAAATGTCTATTGCTTGTCATTGATTTTGTTGGCTACTACTTGTTTCTTCAAAGTTTTAATTGTCAACCCCCCGGAAGACTTCTTTGAAAGCTATGAGTGCAGATTCAAATAAATCCCCTTCAAATGGATGTGTCTTGATATTTGATGAGAAGCAAGAAAAGGTATAAAACATATTTTATGTATTCTTCCCTAATGTGTAAGTGTATCTGTAATTATTTATATTTTGTGTTTAGCTTGATGTTCGTCCATGCAAATGTTGCTATCAAAGAAAAAAAACAAAGATTTTTCAGGCTCAAAATTCTTCCAATGTTTGCAGATTAATGAGTTGAGGAGTTTGCTTGGGCCATTGCCTGATAAGTCATCTATTTATTGTTCCGATGCATCAATCTCTAGATATTTAAGGGCACGGACCTGGAATGTCAAGAAGGCAACTAAAATGATGAAAGAGACCTTGAAATGAAGATTGGAATACAAGCCAGAGGAGATTAGATGGGTAACCACTTAGCTCACTGTTAATTTTTTGTAGTAATCTTTTTAAGTCAGAATCCTTGAATCTTTTTTATTGCATTCTACTTCTGCTAAAATTGGCATGGGATCTAATTTCTGGCGATTAGGCTTTAGCATTCTAATGATGGTTCTAGGCCTATCTTTCCCTCTATGTACATATGTTGTAATGCAACTAAATTTTTAGTAGGCTTGAATGAATAAATGCTCTTTGATTCCTTAGCTGTACATTATGTGAATTGTTAGATACATGACCTTTTTGAGGTCCAGTATTAAACAAGTCCTCTGTGAATGACTTTCTTTGCTCATGCGTGTTTTTCTTTTCTTTATATATATATAAACGTATATTTGACATCGTTGAACCTATTTTATTTAGCAGGCATTGTATTATCAATTTGGCATCAAGTTCAACAATGTTGTGGATACCCAGGTCAATCCTCATTCTCAAAGATTATTGGATGGGGCTGCTATTTTTCTTTTCTTTCCATTTTCCCACACCCTTTTTCGTTTTATTTACATTTTGCTTCAATCGATCATAGTTTTATGCATTACTCAGACATATCACTGCTATAAGAAGGAGTTCCGGAGGTGAAAATTCAAAGTAGCCCCCGAACCACCATGTGGCTCTCACGGATAGCTTCCCCTTGACAAATAGGACCTGTGACAATTGACGGAATGTAATTCGGACCCGTAGGTTGGGAGTTAGGCCCGAAAACGCCTTAAACTTAGTTGAAAAAGAGCGTTCCGGGGGCTAAAATTCAAAACAGCCCCCAAACCACCGTGGCTCTCACGGACAGCTTCCCCATGACAAATAGGACTTGTGACAACTGACGGAATGTAATTCGGACCTGTAGGTTGGAAGTTAGAGCCGAATATGCCTTAAACTTAGTCAAAAAAGGGCGTTTAAGGGGCGAAAATTGAAAACAGCCCCTGAACCACCGTGTGGCTCACACAGACAGTTTTCCCATGACAAATAGGACTTGTGAGAACTGACGGAATATAATTCGGACCCGTAGGTTGGGAGTTAGAGCCCAATATGCCTTAAACTTAGTCGAAAAAGGGCATTTTGGGGGCGAAAATTGAAAACAGCCTCCGAACCACTGTGTGACTCTCATGGACACCTTCCCTGTGATGAATAGGACCTGTGACAATAGACGAAATGTAATTAGCATGTGTAGGTTGGGAGTTAGAGCCGAAAACGCCTTAACTTAATCAAAAAAGGGCGTTAAGAGGGCGAAAATGCAAAACAACCCCCGAACCACCATACGGATGTCACGGCCACCTTCCCTGTCACAAATAGAACATGTAACAATAGACGGAATGTAATTAGCACACGTAGTTTGGGAGTTGTAGCCGAAAACGCATTAAACTTAATCGAAAAAGTCCGTTAAGGGGGCGAAAATGCGAATCAGCCCCGATCCACCGTACGGATGTCACAGCCACCTTCCTCGTGACAAATAGAACCTGTGACAACAGACGGAATGTAATTAGCACATGTTGGTTGGGAGTTAGAGCCGAAAACGCCTTGAACTTAACCGAAAAGGGGCGTTAAGGGGGCAAAAATGCAAAACAACTTCCGAACCAGCATAGAAATGTCACGGCCACCTTCCCTGTGGCAAATAGGACTTGTGACAGCAGACAGAATGTAATTAGCACGTTTTGGTTGGGAGTTAGAGCCAAAAACGCCCTAAACTTAACCGAAAAAGGGCGTTAAGGAGGCGAAAATGCGAAACAACTTCCTAACCAACATATAGATGTCATGACCACCTTCCCCGTGGCAAATAGGACCTGTGACAGCAGACGGCATGTAATTAGCACGTTTAGGTTGGGAGTTAGAGCCGAAAACTCCTTAAAGTTAACCGAGAAAGGGCGTTAAGGGGGCGAAAATACGAATCTGCCCCGATCCACCGTACGGATGTCACGGCCACCTTCCCTGTGACAAATAGGACCTATGACAACAGACGGAATGTAATTAGCACATGTAGGTTGGGAGTTAGAGCCAAAAACGCTTTAAGCTTAACCAAAAAAGGGCGTTAAGGAGGTGAAAATACGAATTAGCTCCCGAATCACCGTAGGGAAGTCATGACCACCTTCCCCGTGGCAAATAGGACTTGTGACAATAGACGGAATGTAATTAGCACGTTTAGGTTGGGCGTTAGAGCCGAAAACGCCTTAAACTTAGCCGAAAACGCCTTAAACTTAACCGAAAAAGGGCGTTAAGGGAGCGAAAATGCGAATCAGCCCCGAACCACCGTACGGATATCACGACCACCTTCCCCATGACAAATAGGACCTGTGACAGCAGATGGAATGTAATTAGCACATGTAGGTTGGGAGTTAGAGCCAAAAACACCTTAAACTTAACCGAAAAAGGGTATTAAGCGAGCGAAAATGCAAAACAGCTTCCGAACTAGCATATAGATGTCATGGCCACCTTCCCCGTGGAAAATAGGACCTGTAACAGTAGACGAAATGTAATTAGCACGTTTAGGTTGGGAGTTAGAGCCGAAAACGCCATAAACTTAACTGAAAAAGGGCGTTAAAGGGGCAAAAATGCGAATCAGCCCCCGAACCACCGTACGGATGTCACGGCCACCTTTGCCGTGACAAATAGAACCTGTGACAACAAACGGAATGTAATTAGCACGTGTAGGTTAGGAGTTAGAGCCAAAAACGCCTTAAGCTTAACCGAAAAAGGGCGTTAAGGGAGCGAAAAATCGAAATAGCCCGGAACCACCGTAGGGATGTCATGGCCAGCTTCCCCGTGACATATAGGACTTGTGACAATAGACAAAATGTCATTAGAACGCGTAGTTTGGGAGTTAGAGCCGGAAACGACTTAAACTTATTCGAAAAAGGGAGAGTTTGACATCCAATAAATGTTCAACATTTTCATTGTAAATGATGCCATTGTTTCATCGTACATAGTGGTCATTTGGGTGGTAAACGTATTAAGAAAGCATGATATGGTTATGGTGATAACCCCGTAGATTACTCAATCATTTTACTTTGATTAGGAAGATGAGAATGAAGAAGAGTTAAAATAAATTTACCACCAAAACATTCTACTCATAAAAATTTATTTTATGGAAAGGTATGCTCCTAAAAATTGTATTATTTGTAAATTGAAATCAAGTTTGAAATAAATCTTTCATGATACACACATACGATTGTATTTCGAAAAAATGTTTTTATAGATTGTTCTACCTTAAATGCATGTTATTACAACCTTTTTCCTATGTTTTTCTGAATTGATATTTTGTAATGGATGCAATTATTTTTTTTATTTTTTGTAGATGGCTTTTGGCGTGGACTTGTGGATAGTCAACATTTTTGTTTATGGAGGACACTTGACACTTTTGTATAATCCTGCTAACTATGTCTTCCTCTACTTTTGTGGAAGTATTTTTTGTATACGGAGGGCTTTGATTTTTGTATGATTCTATATTTTGTATGGAATTATTATTTTAGTTTGGACAATAGTTGGTTTGTATGGACTTTGACATTTAAAGTTATTCATTTTTTTGTATACGGATGCAAATTGTGGAATGATTGATAGTATTCGTATTATTTTGTTTACATATGTATTACAGGTTGTATGGAATATAGACAGGTTGTGGAGAAATTATAATTTTGTGATAAAACATAAGATCATGTTTTTGGTGACTAAATAATTAGTAGCTAAAAAGAAATTGGAAAAATAGTTTCGCCGACTAAAAGTTTTGTAGCAAAATAAAATAAAATCAAACATTTGGCAACTAAAAGTTTTGTAGCAAAAAAAAGTCAAACATTTGGCAATTAAAAGTTTTGTAGCAAAAAAAAGTCAGACATTTGGTGACTGAAATATTTCGTAGCTAAAAACAAAAGCTGAACTAAATAATTAGTAGCTAAAAAGAAATTGGGAAAATAGTTTGGCCAACTAAAAGTTTTGTAAAAAAAAAAAAAAATCAAACATTTGGCGACTAAAAGCTTTGTAGCCAAAAGAACAATTAAACATTTGGCGACCAAAAGTTTTGTAGCAAAAAAAAATCAAACATTCGGCAACTAAAAGTTTTGTAGCAAACAAAAGTCAAACATTTGGCAACTAAAAGTTTTGTAGCAAAAAAAAGTCAGACATTTGGTGACTAAAATATTTCGTAGCTAAAAACAAAAGCTGAAGAATAAAAAAACTTTTGCCTACTAAAAATTTAGTAGCCAAAAACATAACATTTTTGCTGACTAAAATATTAGTAGCCAAAACACACATTATTTGCTGACTAAAATTTTAGTAGCCAAAAACATAACACTTTAGGCGACTAAAATATTAGTAGCCAAAACACAAACTATTTGCCGACTAAAATTTTAGTAGCTAAAAACATAACACTTTAGGTGACTAAAACTTTAGTAGCCGAAAATGTGTTGTTTAATTTTTTTTCCAACCTTTTGGCGACTAAATATTTAGTCGGCAAATGAATACATTTGGCGACTTAAATAAGTTTAGTCGCCAATTAGCTTTCCCGACTACTCTTTGGCTACTAATTCTGCGACCAAAAAAGTTTAGTCGCCAATTACCTACCCCTACCATACAGCACCGGTTTCCATCCTCCTCCCGCTTTTGCCATTTTCATCTTTGAGTTATTCATGTATATATTAAGTTGTGCCCATCCATTGTCCACAAAACAAAAAATGGAATTAGTGTCATTGTTATGCATGACGCACAAAGATGACTATTGTACGGTTCGTAAGACTCATTTCGGATCTTATTTTGATAATTTGAACCGTTTAAATTTTAGATAACAACAAGAAGAATAGTTCTATAAAAATTTAAGTTGATCGGATATCGATAACTTCATCAAATCACATCCGTACGAATATGTATGTATCAAACTAAATACAAATCTGATTTGATGAAGGGATTATTGATATCGATCAACTTGATTTTTACAGGTATATTCTTCTCGATGTTTTCTGAAATTTGAATGGTTCATATCATCAAAATAAGAAACAAAATGTGTCTCATGAGCCACACAACAGTGACATCAACTCCTAAATTTTTCAATATAAATTGGGTAAATTACATTTACCTCCCCTGAGGTTTCTAACAATTATAAGGACCTCCTCTATGGTTTCAATAATTACACTAATCTCCTTTACTTTTAAAACTATTATCAAGATTCGTCCAGTTTATTAAGTTAGTACAAACGACATTACTTAGGTGTGAAAATGACCATATTACCCTTTGGTTTGCACGTGAAAAGACGAAAATACTCATAAACCAAGAAACCTCATTCATTATCGATATAGGTAAATTACACTTATCTCCCTTGAGATTTTGCATATATATTATCAAAGACTTATATATACATTAGTATTATTTAATAAAATTCTTAAATTTCAAGTAATGTTAAATAAAATCCTAAAATTGTTAAGACATTATTAAAAATTTAATGGAAAAAACTTAATTTTCATTGATAAAATACTTAAAAATAAACAATTTCTCTAAAATTAAAGTTAGATAACATCCTAATAACTTAATATGAGGGTTATTCCACACTACATAAATAATGTAAAATTTATCATTTTAAATAATACATTTATTATTTGATTTTTTTAAATTTTATTTTGAAATAAATGGATTTATTTTTATTTTTTAATTTGCATTACTTATTTATTCATATGTAAAAAAATTATTATTTTACCTTTTCTCAACCATAAATTATTCTCGAATTTTAATTTTTATCTTCCAATCATTAAACTTCTAGTCGATAAATATTTAAAAACACGCAGGTTAATAATTCTTACACGATTAAAAAATATTAAAAAATAAATATAAAAGTAAAAAAAATCTTACATTCCCTGTGGTTTCTAACAATTAAAGCAAACTCATTCATTATCAACCTTAATCTTAATCTTAAATGCACTAAATTTAATTTATCATATTAAATATATATGAAATTATTATTTATTTTTCATAACTTTTTCAAAATATAAATGTAATTTCTTGGCTCTATTTTTTTCCACATTAAGATTTTGAACTTTTATAAATAATTTTTTTTAATGAAGGCGAGATATTAATTTTAAATTTTAATTTAATAAAATAGTTTAAATGAGACAAATAAAGATGGAAAAATAGATTTCAAGTATCATACATAACAAATTAATTGAATATTTTATTATTCTCGAATAATTTTTTCATTCAAGTAAAGATTAATTTTAATTTTAGGTGTAATAAATGACAAATTATTTGAATTGTTTATTATTCTCAAATGATTTCTTGATTCTTCATTTCCTATCAACTAATTTTAATTTATTGTGAGGCAATTAGATTTTTTTTTTTACTTCTATATATATTTTTAATTTTTTTAATCATATAATAAATATTATCCTGCATTTTTTTTAAAATACACATCGATTAAAAATTTAATGATTCAAAGATAAAAATTAAAATTTGAGAATGCTATATGATTGAGAAAAGATAAAAAAATCATAACTTATCAAATCACAATTGGAACATAATTCATATGAATATATCTTTACAATAATGTTACTCAATGTGGGCTTCCAAAAATAGTTGATCGGTCTCCAATTCTCGACCTACAATAAAAAAACGAATGTAGCACAAAACACGTCTTATCATTACACATTCATATGGCCAACAGGGCTTAGGTTTCCCTACTTGATTCTTATTTCTTCTTATCACATTGCTCGAAACACAACGAAACACACTCTCCGTAATCTCTTACTTTATTTCATTTCTTTCTTAGTGTGTTTCTAATTCATATCCTCATTATTGTGGCTTAATTAAGGCTTAGGAATGCCTTGGATGCAATGGGAATGCCAAAATATGAGTTGAAACACTTAGTCAAATTTATGAAAACAGGGTCTTCACTCGAGCGTAACTTTGGTCGTTCGAGCGGTCTGCAAAACTCTGTAAAACTTCTGGGAGCTTTAATTTTAAGCTCGAGCACAATTTCTTACGCTCGAGTGGAGGATCAAAAATAAGTGTGGTCACTCGAGCGCAACTTCCTTCGCTCGAGCTAACCCCCAAACTCTGCAAAACTTCTGAGAGCTTGCATTCTTCACTCGAGCGCCGCTTCCACCGCTCGAGCAAAGAATGCAAATTTTGGAATTTCTAGATTGCTCTCTAAGCTCCAAAATTCAACTCCAATGCATCAAAACTCATTCTTGTGGGTCAAAACTTGAGAAAACACTTGTGAACTTATAAAACATCATGAATTAAAGATCATTTCACAAAATCAAGGCCCAAAAGCAAGCAAATTGTTCAAAGTCAAACTTGAAATGTACATATATATATATAATATGCGTACAATCCTTTGAATGAAAACAATCCACTAAGAAGATTTAAAGGAATTACACAGGTATACTCTCAATTACCTAGCGAATCCACGCCTAATTGAACCAACCTCTATGTGCCTCTTCCAACCCGTCTTTACCTCGGAATTGTCTTTACGATGAGCCACCCCGGAATCCACCAAAGCTTCAGGCTCGAATTCTTCAGAATCCACCGAAGAACAACTCTCTCTTTTGTAGAACAAACAAAACCTTTGATGTATACTCTTTAAAACATGAGTTGAATACTCAATTAAAACATCAAAGAAAACTCACAAAGTATCCCCGGATATAAACCCTAGAACCCAAAAAGAAGATCTGGAGTAGTAATCCTAAAAACTGACCCAACACGCGAATTTATAGAATCTGTCCCGCGATCTCTGCTTCAGCGCCCAATAGCTCGCTCGAGCGGCTTCTGCAAAATATGCGCGTGATATAACAGAGGTCTGCTCGAGCGCTAGAGAACCCGCTCGAGCGGAAATCACACAGCTCAGTACTTTTACAGGCGACCAAAACTTTTGGAACCAGGGATTCTCCGCTCGAGCGGGGTAATGTCCGCTCGAGCGGACAGGCAACTTGGAATGCATTTTTGCATTTTGCTTCGGGGCCGCTGCCCCTCGACCCCGCCGTGGCGCTGCCCCGGACCCGCCAAGGGGCGCTGCCCCCTCGACCCCCGCGAGCTGACCGGGCAGCTCGATCCCCGTCATAATCAGCGAAATGGCAATCTTAAAAGCATTAGCATCACAAACTTCTCTAAAAGGCACAATTCGGGTTGGATTCGCATCTAAACACTCATAGCCTCACTGAAATAAAAGTGAGAAAATAAATACAACTAAAAGGAGTTTTGTCAAACGGGATTGCCAAGAATAAAACCTAACACACCGACATTCATATAGTTATATCAAGTAAACAAGTAGCCACATGGTAAGATGCTTAAACATAGTAAGAAAAACACACTAGCGGGATGCTAAAGCATAAAAACTTACATATTTACCGACGTCTCGCGGAACAACTACAAAATAAAGTTATAAAACATGCATGATCTTATCTACAAAATTCTAATGCAACACATACACAAAATGCGACTAGAGATTTGGCTACTAAACTATGACATATGAATCATCTCAAAAACATGAGGTAGCGTACATAATCATATAGAAATTGATTAAACCCATATAGATGCAAACTTAGCTGAGTCAAGATGCATGAGACATGGATGCAAATTATGGATATGCTGAAAAGAAAAATATGATGCTTATGTACAAATAAGGAAAGCAAGTAAATAAAAGGAATAGAAAGAAATGGGGTTGGAAGACACACATAGAAAGTGATAGAAAGAAGCAGGGGTTGGGAATTATTGCAATATCGAATAATTATAAAACCGAATAAAAGAAAATAAAAGACGTGGGATTGGAAATTATTATTGCAAAATGATAAGAATATACAGAAGAGATTTAACTAAAAATTACAATCATCCACCGAAAATTGCCTTATTTATTGCTTGGGAAATACTATGTTTTTGGGAATTTCCATTTTTCATGCAGCCAAACCAAGACAAAACAAATAAAACCTTTCCAAGAGATGCATATGTACAAAAAAGCTATCAAATGAAAAATCTAAGAAGTATGAGAATTGAAGCTAGGAAACACCAAACCAAAGAAATAGATAGAAATCTACATTCATCTCTTTGTGAATAAGAGTAAATTAATACTTAATTCCATGCTTTTAATTAAAGAGAGTAGATTGTCACCATTTTAAAAGGGAAGTCTTACAAAGTTTGTGAAAGCTCTATAAGACTTCTAAGAAAATAGGGAAGAAAGGGGAAAAAAAACACATAACTCATCGAAAGTTGTTAAAGACTCATCTTCTTACTCATGAAATATGTATGTAAAATCCATTTCCATATTCAAAATTGGTCGAGAAGAGAATTTTTAACACTTTAATGTGGAAGTCTTTATATTTTCAATTACATATTTATATCACATAAATTAAATATCACATAGTTTATAAAGAAAATGCAAGAAAATAATGAGAAGAAATCTAAGAAACAACTTCCACAACCCAAATATCATATATTTAAAACAAAAAAGAAATACAAAAAAAATAAATAAGAAGAAATCTAAAGAACGAAAGCTCAGCCTTCCACTTCCAATGCTACAACCTAAATATCACATATTTAAAAAAATAAAGAAAATACAAGAAAATAAATGAGAAGATTGCACAAATTTACCTTTGGAGGAAAGGGTGAATTTTTTGATTAACAGACTTTATTCTTTACATCCTCAAGTTTATGATGTATGCTTTGAAATTTCAGTGAGATGTCTCAAGTTTTACCTTTAATGGAATTTTGAAGGGTTGAAAAGGTTCTCTTGCTCTCAAAATAACTTAAGGTTTTTCAAAATCAATTTCTCTCCATCAAGATTTTTGAAATAAAAATTTCCTTAGCCAAAATTTTCTCCCTCTTTTTGAAACAAAATTTTCTTTTTCAAATTTTTTTTCTTCTCTTTTTTCAAACAACAAAATGAGGTGGTGTTTATAAACTTACAAAACACCCAAAACACCTAGCTAACCATGTGGTATTTTTTAAAAACACATGGCTTGACATGTGGTATTTTTAACCATGTATGTGGTATGAAAACCAAATTTTCAAAACTGCTAAATTTTTTGAATAAGAAAAATTTAGAAAAATATTTTTGAATAGATCTAAAATAATTTGGTCAAAACGGGTGACTGCTGGGATTTTAAAGCTTAAATTTGACTTTTCTGCTGGAAAATTCGTAATATACCATATTCCAATTTTCATTATCAGGTGTTCAAAAGAAAGTGCTCAAATCTTAAGGCCGGTCAAAATAGGATGTCTACATAACCTCAAGTTATTCTCTCTCTCTCTCTCTCTCTATTTGTTTGTCAAAATGTCTCACGGAATAAATGACACTTCAAAAATTAAATTTGAGACTATAGCCAATTTGACCAGTGTTAAATCATATTAAAAATATTAAAATCTTTGGTGTAATGATTATGTAACATTACTTTGTGGTATTAAGTTGTAAAACTTAAATTTAATTTTTATAGAGAGTAGTTTGAATTCTTTGTCGTGTTTTCTTTTTCCCACCATTATGGGGTTGCATGTCTTTAGTGGTAGCTTCTAGCTATTATTGGGCTCGTGATATATTTAATGTAATATTTTTTAAATTTGTAATTACTATCTTATGGATTCCTATAAGATAGTAAATTATTTTTTTACATGGATTCGTATAATTTTTTAGTTAGGCCGCTTATGAAGCTTTGTGGATCTAAACAAATTGAATAATATTTAAATAAATAAAATATTTGAGATTATAAAAAACACTGTCATAATTTGATCCATAATGATATAATATGTTAGGTGTTAATTTTTTGATTTGTTGCACACTTCAACTCCATAGCCTATGCCACATCATTGTTGGTGAATTTGAAGATTTAAATTGTGAGTCTCTAACATTTCTTTCTAAATAATTATATAATACATGTTTGGTGTTACTTCCTACAAGTTAAAAATTGATAATAATAATAAAAAAAAAACCTAAACAATCTTCCATTGGTTTTCAATAATTATGTTTTAAAAAACTTATTTAAGGTATTTTTATCTTGTAAATTGTATAAAAAAAACTATACCAAACACTCAAGCAATTGAACAAGTTAAAAAATAAAAAATATATAAATAACTTTAATAAATTACACCAAATTGGACCAAAGACTTGTACAAAGTGGATAGCTTGTGTAAATTTAGACTAATCTTGTATAATTTTTTGATTTGATTAATTATCCTATATTAATTTATATTTTAATAATCATTTAATCTTTTAAACTCGACCCAACCCACTGTTCACTTGTAAAAAATCTGTCCAATGCCTTTCCTCTTGCCCCCTTGACGGAAGATTCCTGATTTCGTCCCTACTTAAAATCCTTATTAAGACATCATTCTTAAATTTAGCCCTAATCACATGAAGAGTTAGATGTGTTGATTATTTAGGAATCAAATCAACTAAGATCCAATCACTTGCCAAATCAATGTTGTGCATTTAAGAATGATATTTTAGGGATCTCCATCATTATTCTAAATTATAGTTGTGGTTCTTGTAATTTTATTATTGTTTTTGATTTGGTCAATGTATATTCAATTGTATCAATTTTGTCTTTTAATTTCACATTGTGTATATTTTTATTCAAATGGTAGAAGTGGTTCGCGGATAGATGCCATGATATTCTCTACCACTTTAGTATTTATTTCATAGTTTTGCACATGCATTTTTAAATTTTTAATTTTTTTTTTAATTTACATAAAGAATTAAAAATAAAGAGATCGAATCATCTATGTGGGTCTTGTGGTGGAGCCACAGAACCCAAATTGAACAGTCCTGTTTTCTCTTCCAACTGAAGAGGAGTTCAACTTGTTTAAATAATAGTGGCTCATGCGAAACTCTATGGTACTAGTAGATATTTCACTGCTGGAAAATCTGCTTTTAGCGGCGTTTACAAAACGCCGCTATAGGTACAACAAACGTCGTTAATTCTTTTTGTGACGTTTAATGTTGGTTCTTGTAATTTTATTATTGTTTTTGATTTGGTCAATGTATATTCAATTGTATCAATTTTGTCTTTTAATTTCACATTGTGTTAATTTAGTTCAATTAATTACCTTTAAAAAAAATTAGACAAAAACTTAAGGCAAAATGGTTCATTTTGTGTATATATTTTTATTCAAATGGTAGAAGTGGTTCGCGGATAGATGCCATGATATTCTCTACCACTTTAGTATTTATTTCATAGTTTTGCACATGCATTTTTAAATTTTAAATTTTTTTTTTAATTTACATAAAGAATTAAAAATAAAGAGATCGAATCATCTATGTGGGTCTTGTGGTGGAGCCACAGAACCCACCCAAACCGCAAAACATGACACCTTCATATGGTTCAAGATTAAGTTGAGTCGCCAATAATCCACAATAAGAAGAGCACCTTGGATAGTATACGGACTCTATTCACTGCTGGAAAATCTGCTTTTAGCGGCGTTTAAAAAACGCCGCTATAGGTACAACAAACGTCGTTAATTCTTTTTGTGACGTTTAATGTCAAGCGCCGATGCTGCGGCCGTCGCTATAGCTTTATGACGTTTAAAAAACGTCGTTATATGACTATAGACGGCGTTTTTAAAAACGCCGCCAAATATCCCACCAAAGGTACTATGACGTCACTATCATTTTAACGACGTTTTCGAAACGCCGCCATATCTTTTTAAAAAACTTACTGTTAGCTTTTAGAGTTTTAGGTGACGTTTCTGAAAACGCCGTGATATCCCCTTTTTTTAATTTTCTTAAATTTTAAATTTAATATGAACAAGGACCTATTGATGTAATAATAAATAAGAAGGCAGCCTAAATAATAATGCATATGTACGGTTTTAGAAACACACAAATGAAGAAATATAAGCTCAAAGCATTAATCTTTACATGCTTACAAACTCCAAAGGCCTTGTTATATAAAGATTTAAAAAACAAAAAACAAAAAGTTGGGTCAAGAGGGTCTCATCAGAGAGTAAAATCAATTTTTCTGGTGTAGCCAATTTTGGGGTCGGGTAGTTATCTGCTGTGGGAATCCTGATGATGCTGCAGCAGTTGCAAACAGTTGCGGAGGATTGATGAACGGCCTTTGCTGATTGTTGCTCATTGACAGGGAGAGGTGATTGCCTTCGGTGGTGGCTCCAATTTGACCTCCATTGCTGCTGCTGCTGCTGCTAAGATACTGAACCTACAACCACACGATTAAAACAATTTATTAGCCGGTCAAATTAATTAACCCAGTTATACCCAACTCATGAAATGGGTTTCAATACAGACTTGATAGTTTGATGAGGGTGAAAACATGTGAAGCATTGAGTTTTCACTCTCATTGACGAATTGCCCGGGTCTTAGTGAACTCGGAGATTGAATGTGGGTTTGGCTCATAAGTTGCACTGTCTCGGTCTCATTGTACCCTTCTCTTCTGTAGGAATTAATTCTAGATGGTTCTTGTTGAATATTGAGCTGGGTTCACATTCGCTTTACCGGTACTCCATCATACCGGTTTTTCTACACACTCAAAGCCTAATTTCAAGCTAGAATTATCAAAGCCGCCATTATAGTATCTTGAGTACGGCAATAGTATCTATACCAGATCCCAACAAATTAAGCTGAAATTTTAACAACTAAATACAAAAATTCGCAGTTTCGATTTCAGTAAACAAACCACAAACAAGTGCAAAGAGCAAGAGACATTTCAAGGACGCAAAAACAACCGATTTTAAGCAAGTAAAGCTGTGAAGTGAAAAATAGAACTAACCTTTTCTTGCTGGAGACCGTTCGTCGGAATTAAGCTGTAAAGTTAAAGCCGCTAGAATACCATACTGGAATTGGAATTGGAAAGTAATTTCATAGCTCAATAGAAGTTAACAACTATCATAAAACCATAAATGTAATTTCATACCTACCTGTAAAACTCAATTAACTTATTGTAAAATTCTTCAAAACTATATTTTGAAAACACTATTTCATACTTTAAGTTGTGTTGTCAAAATACGCTTTCCTAATTTCCTTGACTTATTTTTCTTTTTTATTTTATGTTTTTATTCCAAGGTTGGTTTCATAGCAAATATCTCTTTCTTCGACTCATCAAAACAATTATCTACTAACCACCCAAGGACAGATTTTCGTTCCTTGTACTTTTGGCTACATATATATAGCCTACATCAAGTAAAAGGATAAAAGGTAGTAGAATATGCACAGTGACAACTAAAAAATGATACAAAAGATTCATGATACCTTCCCCAAGCAAACGAGCGAGAGAGAGAGAGGGGGGGGGGGGGAGCAGCTCAAATTAAGCCACTGAAAAAAGCAACAAACAGCCCCAAAATTAGTTCAGTTCAACTAACTCCCTTATTTCCAAGTGAAGTTGGTGGAGTCATGGAGACAAATATTGGAGAGTTAAAACAACAAATTGATAATCAAAACAAAACACGGAGAAGAAGCGATTGCCGATGAAAATCAACAATATAAATGGAACCAGCGTGAGTGCCAAGAGAGAAATCAATACCTCGCTGGTGTAGATGGTGGTGGTGGTGGTGCTTCGAAATCGAGAGAGAGACATCGAAATCGCTCTTAGATGAAATCAAAGATGAATCTCTGAGAGAGAGATCTAGAGTGAGAATCGAAATCGCAGATCGATCTGAATCGAAATCGCGGTGGCGGATGAATCTCTGAGAGAGAGATCTAGAGTGAGAATCGAAATCGCAGATCGATCTGAATCGAAATCGCGGTGGCGGTGTAGACCGATCTGAAATCGATGAATCTATGAGATTTGAATCGATGAATCTATGAGATTTGAATCGGTGAATCTCGCTACGTCGCGGGTGAAGATGGTGGTGGCGGTGGAGCTTCGAAATCGGTGAATCTGTGAGATTTGAAGGTGAGATTCAAAATAAGGGTTTAGAGAGGATTGAGAGAGAGAGAGGCGAGGCGAAGATTCAATGTTTGTTTATGTCTGAAGGCTTGAGGGTTTACAAAAGGCTTATATTCTCAGATTCCAAATAGCGCGTGTGGGGTACCGCAATTGGAGGCGGTTTTAAACGCCCTTTATTATAAAACGGTGTCGTTTTAATTGTATAAATATACGACGTTTTTAAAGCGCCGTTAAATATTAACAAAAATGACATTTAAAAAAACGCCGTTAAAAAAACGCCGCAAAAACCCTTATTTCCTGTAGTGTTTGTTGCAAACTAAATGACACTACAGAAAAAATAACACTGTAATTTTAATTGCCATGTATCTTATATTTTTGTCGCCTAAGGTATCTTGTGACCACATAGTTTGTTCACTATTTTTGTTGCCTTGAGGTGGTCGGGGGAAGACCATTGGCAATTAGTATATCCATTTGTTGGCAAAAGTTACTTTTTAGCAACAAACATTTGTCGCTATTGGTTCGCCAACTAATGGTTCAACAAACTATTTTTATTGTTGAATATCTTAGTTGCAAAATGTAAAAAATTTATAGACCATATTTTTTGTGGCAAAAGTACCATTCACTGACAAAATTTCCATTAGTAAACCATTAGATTTGTTCTTCACCAATGAAACATTGATCCTGTATCTCATGAGGTTGGTGGGAGTACTAGGTTGGTTAAGTGGGAGAAAAAAAATCGTTCTCCACCACAATTTAATCAATCTTAGATCTGGTTTTTGACTACTTGTTGATGTCTTTCTCTGGTTTGCTGTTGCTCATGAGTTGCTGTTGTTCTGCTATGCTTTATTGTGAGGTGTTGATGTCTAGCTCTGGTTTTTTCTGCTGCTCTTGTGTTGCTGATGTTTTGCTACTCATGAGTTGTTGATGTCTTGCTCTGGTTTTTTGTTTTTCTTTGTTGGTCTCTCACCAACTAGGAGGTTGGAGCTTAATTTAGCTCCAAGCTTCTGTAACGCCCTCAGAATAACAACATTAAACCCATCAGATAAGACAAACCAACCTGTAACAAACCTGCCTAACACATCCTATAACTCAAATATGAAGAAAAAGGAATGTAAACACGATAATAACCAACTACCAACATCCACGGACACATGTCCGGATCACTGTACAACAAGGGTAAACCCGGGATTGCTATAGCTTCTCTTTATTGATGTAATTTATCATACTCTATGGCCATGTTTGTTTGGGCGAACTGGACTAGGTTGGATTAGCATTCCCATGACTAATAGTCCTAGGATTATGAATCTTTTGGATTGTGTATCCTATCTTATGTTTGGATTAAAAGGAAGACTAAGGGTATGTTTGGTTTGAGTTTGGGAGATGAGTTTTAGAAATAAAAGGTACGAAAAAATATTTGGTTTGGTTTTTTTCAAATGATGTTTTGGAAAATTATTTTGAGAGAGAGTTTTGGAAAAAGTGATTGATTTGATGTGTATGAAAGAGAGATTTGTTTGGAAAACTTATAAACCAAACAAGTTTTGGGAAATTTTTTTGGGAAAATTTGTTTGGTTTAATTACTTTTGAAAACTTATTTGTAGAGAATGTTTCCCAAAAAATTTTGAGAAACACAAACCAAACAAGGCCTAATAGTCTAGACTTTAACTTTGTCTTTCAATTTATATCCCACCCCTCTCTGTGGGATTGAATACTCCATCATATGTGTGATATCATATTCGGATAGATTGTTAGTCGGTATTTCAATTGCTTAACCAAACATTGGATTAATAATTTTATTGGACTATTAGTCTAATCCCAAGCTCATGTCTACCCAAACAAACATGGCCTATATGTGTTTATCATCAATAAAGTATTTTCTTTAGCCGATCAAAAAAATTTAGTCGATCTTATTAGTAAATGACATCATTGTTTGGCTCTCTTCCTCCGGCTGTGTATTCTTCTCTTCTTTGTTTTTCTTTTGTTTTAGGTTTACTTTTTGTCTGGTGCCTTTTAGTTTCTGTTGTGTGTGTTGCTCTGTTTTGTCTTGTTTAGGTTTACTTTTTATTGTGAAATTACAATTTATATTATATACTTTGTTAGTATCTTTTGAATTTTAAAGGGTTTGACATGTAAGGTACTAAATAAATTTTGGTAAGAAACAAATGATAATCCTAACATTATTGGTTTTGAAGATAAAAAAACTAAGAACCTAGATTTCAAGATATAACAAAATTTTAAGACAAAAAAATATAAAATAAAATAAAATAAATCGTAAATTGTAGTGAACCATTCACTAGTTTCTCCATCTATAAAATGACAAAAACTATGTTGAATGAATAATCAAATAATAAGCTATATATTTTGAAAATCAAAAGAAAATATAATTTCAAACATGACTTTATTAAATTTGTTAGGTTTAGCTAGCTTAATGAAAGATTAAAACATCTCCATCAGACAATTTGAGTGCGTTCTAATTATTTACATGCTTGTCTTTAATAGTGCTTAATTGATTTTAATAATTCTTTGAGCTATTTGAACTCAGTCTAACCTACCCAATTGAACCTACCTCGATGCCTCATTTCTACCCCCTCTCCCAATGACCGAGCCTTGGCTCTACCGTTGATCGGATATATAGAAGACCCACAATGGCAAGGAACATTATGGATGCTTAACAATTATTGCGCTATGAGGAATTTTGGGAATTCCGATGGCATCCATTTTTCTTAGGGGAATCTCTTATTGATCCTAGGATGAACATGGAAAGTAAGACTTGCATTGCATTATCTCTTAAGTTAGGGTGATGCTAGTCATTCATGTTTCGTTGTTGATCTTGTTGTTGCTTCAGTTTCATTCATTGCTGATCATGTTGTTGCTATAGTTTTCATTTCACGATTTTCTTTTCTTTCAATATGTTTAGTTAGGAGTTTTGGTTCTACGTTGGAACCTCTTCATAATTCTGGTTCTAGGCTGGTGTTTGCATATGATTGAGTTACCTTACTATGCCAACCTGGTGGGGGATGGGGTGGTTTATTTGTCTGCTTACCTTGTAATATCATTTTGGGAATTATCAATAATATTACCCTATTTTGCTGATAAAATAAGTTATGTGAAGAATTTTTCCCTCTACACAAGTGAACCACGAATTCTTTAGAATCTTGATCGCATTGTTTTTGTTTTCATCTCCATGAACGAATTGATGTAGACATATGTATGGGTGCAAATATCGGAAGGAAAAATGTGAGAAGGGAACATGACAATTTATTCATATTATTACTGCCCATACTATAAATTTTAAATTGGCCTAATTGAAAGATAAACAGCACTCTTTGTTGTCACTGGCCAAGGTTTGTCCTGCTAACGCATGGTGCGCCCTTGCTCACAAATTCCAATAAGCCATCCATCAAACTCTGCATAGGAACAAGAAAATAAATAACTACATAAAAATAAATACTTTGCAAGATGAGAAAAAGAAACAAACAAAACTTTAAACAACCATTACATGGTAATTGCAGCAACAACAAAAAAGTATTAAAAGAGAGTTGAGTTGATAACCTAAAAAAATGAATATCTACTTCTATAACCAGGTAGATGCCAATATTAATTTGTGAAAATCAAAGTAGTAAATATTTAATATGAGTGAGATGTGTTACGTACTTAATTTTACTGCAATCAACAGTATAGTCAATAGGTATTCCGTGAATATCAATTTCGCAAAGACTAGGAAGTTGCTTAGCTTTATCAACCTTAACCCCTAAAGAGGGTCCAACTTGCTTAAAACATCTACACACAGTTTGGCGATCTGTTATAGAAGCAACCATCTGGTTCAAGGCTTGAACCCCTTGACAGCACGGTACAGTTATCCCACTATTGCCCACCAAGTATTGTTGGCATGGAAGCATCTTTGTGATAGCTTCTTGGCATGTAATTGCTGCATTTATAGTCATAGAGCTTGCAATCGCTGCCAAAACCACCATAACCAAGCCTAGCACACATACAGACTCACCCATCATCTTCTTCATCGCCATATCTTTTCTTTCTTTTAAGTTGAATAGGAGTTCGTTTAGAAATATTTCTTGGGACTACAGTGTTAAGCAACACATACTCATACTCTATTTATAATGCATAACAAAGTAACATATTTGGGCGGTGGGTTTTGTAATCCGTGTGCGCATGTAGTGAGCACATGGTATGGTATCCATCAAGTTTTTGCTTTTGAAAGGAAATTAATGGATTTGTTTTACTGCAGTGACGTATGAAGAAGTTGGTGTAACAATAAACCACTTAATTGAGTGTGTAGTACCAAAATAATTAAATGCTAGTATTAATTGCTAATTTGCTATAATTAGAAATGTAAAGTGTGTATGGTTGATTACTTGTATTGTAACCTATTTCTTCCACATTTGCCTGTGGTTCTGTTTTTGCTTTGCTGTTTGTTATTGTTATTTGTAAGGTGTGTTTTGGAATTTGCCCACGTTAAGGAGTTTTTTTTTTTTTTTTTTTTATCAGCAAAAAAAAGGAACTTTATTGATGCATTAGAAGACAATTACATCAATAAAAGAAAAGAGAAGGATGGGTGCAAAAAGCATCATGGCGAATCAAATCAATCCCAACTAGATTGGCATCGATAAGACCACCCAATCATATGCTAGCACACCATCAAGAGTTGGTGAGTAACCAACCACAAACACCGAAACCAATCTCACCCAAGCAGAAGATAACCAAAACTAAACCAAAAAATGTAACCCTTAACTAATAAACTGATAGAAAAATGAGACAATCAATAAAGAAAAACAGCTATAGCAGGCCAGAGCAAAACAAACAACAATCCATAGCAGCAAAACAGGAGCAGAACACCATCAATCCATAGCATCAGTAGCCATCACAGAACACAGCAACAGGTAGATCACAATCCCACAGATCAACAGCAATGCAACCAGCAGCCAACATCAGCAGGCCACACAGCATTATACATTAGCATCATGAAACATCAGAGCTGCACTCATATGAGCTACACCACCAACAAATCTTCTCTCACCCCTACCCCTGCACCACACAGCAACATTCATCATTCTCCCCTACTAGTCCACCAGCAGACCAACAGCAATTCAATCAGTAGCCAACATTAGCAGGCAGCATAGAAGGCCACACAGCATCATACATTAGCAGCATACAACATCAGACCTGCACTCATATGAGCTATGCATGATAGATTTACAACAGCCAATAAAATCCCCCAAATATAACCCACCAGAAAACTTTATTTGAAAGTAGAAATGGAGAACTGGTCTAGGCAAGAGCAGAACAAGGGCAATACTGAGAACACAGCAAATATTGCCACCAAAATGCTGCTGCTGGTTACCAGACCTTCTCACCTCTGTTTCCAGATGAACCATACCACAGCCACAGTAATGGCTTTCCAATGTGATACCCCTTGCAAACCCCACTGATGAGTGATTTTTGATCAGCAAAAAGAAACCAGAATCATAACAAAGGCACAATAGCAGGCCCATCAGTGCATAAGGCAGAACTTCACCTGCTGGACTGAGCACTTAACCAGATGGCCTACTCTCCAAAACAGCAGTCTCACAACACTAAAACATCATTCCAACAATAGCAGTCTCACAACACCAAAACATCATTCCAGAATAGGTTGGAGAAACCACCATTCCAAATCCAATATAGTGCAACACAGAGCCACAGATATGTTCGACCATCACACCCTTCAACAATCACTAAGACTATGCAACCACAAACTCAACCATTATTCGAGAAGCAGAAGATCAACAATGCCTCACTCTCGAAAGTAAACCTGATTACACTCCATATCTACAGCAGCTGCTAGGATGACTCCCAACTATACACAATAACATACCCATAGATCTATTAAGACAGATAACAATCACCTACTTTCTCTACAACATAGCAGTACAACAGCATATCAACCACAAGACTATATTTGAACATAGCAACAAAGCACCAAGACTATGCAGCCACAAAACTATGCAGCCTAGACTATCTATACAAGTCTTGAATTGATTTGAACATAGCAAACGAAGCAGCATAGCAGCCAGTTGGGCATAGCAGACTCACAAATCTATTCAACCATCACACTCTTCAACAATCACCAAGACTATGCAGCCACAAACTCAACCATCATTCCAGAAGCAGAAATAATCAAAGAGGCAGAGCAGCAAACACAGAACAGAACAGTAAATTCTGGCTAGAAGCAGCAAGCTTTACATTCCGTATTTGCAGCAGCTGCTAGGATAACTCCCATCTATACATAATAGCATACCTGCTTCAAATTCAATACTATGTCATGCACTGAGTACTGCCACTCTTTCAAATTTGATTTTTCCCATAAAGCAACTCTAACCTTCACCGACTCAGTTAATTCTGCAAAATCTGGATTTGCCTCTGTAAACAAACACTTATTCTTTAGTTTCCACACAGACCACAACATTGCTAAAGGGACTACCTTCCAAATTTCCTTTACCTGAATCTTATGTCTTATACCTGACCACCATTGTAGGAGTTCCTCCACTGAACCAGGGATGATCCAGCTCAGATTCCACCAGTTAACAATATCAGACCAGACTACCCATATCGAATGACAATGTAGAAGCACATGATTCATGGTCTCCACTTCAGATTTGCAAAACACACATAGTGGGTTGGCATTGGGATTCAACACTCCGATTCTAAGCAAAAAAGCTGAGGATTTAATCCTATCTCTCCAAGCTAGCCAACTCAGGAATTGCACTTTGGGCGGAGCTATATTCCTCCAAATGTTTTGTGTAATTGATTTTGCAGCACTTTGGACGAAGCTATAATCCCACGTTAAGGAGTTGGCCCAATGTTTTACTATTCTATTGATTTTTTTTTTGGGGTGTATATCTACATTCATTAAATATTAATAAAATTTGCATAGAATCGATTGCATTAATGGTTGTAGCAAAAGTATTAAATATTTTCACAATGTCGCATCATGTGACATTGTCTATGTAGTACTTTCAAATAATATAAAATTGCAGCACTTTGGACGAAGCTATAATCCCACGTTAAGGAGTTGGCCCAATGTTTTACTATTCTATTGATTTTTTTTTTGGGGTGTATATCTACATTCATTAAATATTAATAAAATTTGCATAGAATCGATTGCATTAATGGTTGTAGCAAAAGCATTAAATATTTTCACAATGTCACATCATGTGACATTGTCTATATAGTACTTTCAAATAATATAAAATTGCAAGACATTATGTGAGTCCTTCATTGTCTCCTAACTACCTGATAGAAATGAGTTTAACATGTTCACCCTACAAAAACTTTCATTAAATGATTGGTTTATACCATGTAGATTACGTCACATATAGTACCCTCAAACTACTTACATGTGGTTGTAAATGTGACATATTTTGTAAATATTATAGAGTGATTTTGCCGCAAGTTCTATATATAAAATTGTGTACCATTATGTCCTAAATAATATTTTTTTAACTCAAGAAGTCCTCTAAATTTTATATTCTGAAAATATTCATATTCATAATACGCTTATCACCACATTGTCCTTATGATCCAAAATATTCTTAGTTACACTTGTGTTTGGTTATAATTCATTTTTTTTATCAGCAATAAATGAAATTTTATTGATGAAAAGCTATACAAAAGTGAAAATCAAACATCAATAAAGGGGAGAAGTGCATCGAGCATCATAGCTAACAACAACAATCCCAACTAGGTTGGCATTGAGGGGGCTAACGCAATCACATGCCAGCACTAAACCCAAGATTGGAGAGAGACCAATCAAACAAAGAAGAAAGAAAACAAAATAGTATGGAAAAGGGCCCAAAACAACACAGCCTCAGCAATCCCCTGAACTACCCACACCAATCCCCTAAGCTACATATATCTGGTATCAACTAGCAGCAGCAAAAAGGCCCAAAACAGAGAAGAACAACAGGAGCAGCAACTGGCCCAACTAGAAAACAGCAGCAACATCTAGCTGCAGCAGCATCAAACAATTCAGCAACCAATAGCTCTGATCTGTTGCAAATTATTAATAATATCCTGTACTGAATACAGAGACTCCTTGAACTGAGCTTTAACCCAAAAAGCAATTCTCACCTTGATTAATTCACAACGTTCATTCAACTGGAATAGTTTCCCATTAAAGACCACATTATTTCTGATTTTCCATATTGACCACATACAGGACATTGGGATTGCCTTCCAAATTTGATTTTCAAATTTTCTCCATTTATAACCCGTCCACCATTGTAGCAGCCCATTAACATTATCAGGTATCAGCCAATGCACCCCCCACCAATTCATCAGGCACAACCACACCTAGCAAATAACAGGGCACCAGAGAAGTACATGATTGACTTTTATAATTCATTAGTTATGACATTTGTGTTAATCAAGACCACTAATGTCATAACTTGTATATGGTATGCACCATTTTAACGGTATGCATGAGGTTGTTGCAATGTGATCATAGAAATAGTTTGTAAAACGTTTTTGTTCTTTGGGATTCGGGCCGGTGCTGTGACAACAAGGTGGCAAGCATCATTCAGTTTGTTTTTGTAAAAGAAGCCTTTCTTATATTCAAATTGAATCACTTTGTAGTTAAAAAAATAAATAAATAAGAAAGAAAGCTAAATGAGTTTAATTGGGGAAAAAAAAGGTTCATAACTAAAAAATTGAATGAGTTTCATTAGTTGAAAAAAAAAAAGAACTACTTTCTAGGGAGGTTGAGTTGTACAATATTTTTATTTATCTCAATATCACATCTTTGTACAAATAAATTCAAAAGCAAATTAATATTTAAGTAGAAGTACTTAAAAAAAATTACACTTTATCCAAATATTTTCAGGAATTTTCAATAGATCCAATAACTTAGATTCTCCATCCCCACACATGATGATGCCTCCATGAGAATCTGAGTTGTTATATCAACTGAAATTCTTTGAAAATATTTGGATCAAGTGCCATTTATTTTAAGTACTTCTGTTTAAATATT